GCGGCCCCCACCGACGTCATGAAGGGAGCCCCCTCGGGCCAGGCCATCAAGCCCCGGGAGGGCCGGCCCCCGGGGGACTCGGAGGGCGGTGACGGCCACCTCGCCGCGGAGGACGAAGGCCACGGGGGGCGGCCCTCCTCCGGCCCCTGCGGCTCTGGAGAGAAGGACCGGGGTGGCCGTGTTCCCGGGGCCCTCCGGGAGAGCCAGGCGGGGCCGGCGGAGGGCCTGTGCTGCTACGTGTGCGGGTCGGCGCTGTCCCCCGCCTCCCAGCAGCAGATCCACGTGCAGAAGCAGGAGAAGCCGGCCCAGGCGCCCTTCTTCCCGTTCCTCTGGCTGCACAGCCCGCCCCCCGGGGCGCAGCCCATCTCCGAGGCGGGCAGCACCCTGGTGTGCCCCTCCTGCTTCTCCTCCCTCACGCACCAGTGGCAGAGCTTCGAACTGGCCAACGTGCCGGTCCTGCAGCGGCTCTACGTGGTGCCCCTGAACAGCCACGCCCCCGGCATGGCCTCCAAGGCCAGGAGGTTCCCGAGGGAGGACGGCCCGCCCGCCGCCGGGCTTCTGCGAGAAGCCTGTTACCTGTGCGGGGAGGACTGCACCCAGGATGCCCGGGCCGTGCCCTCGCGCATCGTCAATGGCAATGCCAGGAACAGCATGCATTTCCCGTTCCTCAGCCTCCTGCCCTGCCCGCCCAATGCCCGGCCCCCCAACAAGCGCTGCGAGGTCCGCAGCTGCCCCAAGTGCTTCAGCGTCTTAGAGGACATCTGGACCCTGTACCGCGCCTCGCACAACCCGGAGCTGCTCAGCTCGGTGCAAGGCTTCCTGGGCAGGTACCACCAGGCCTTCTCGGCCACTGACCCGACCCTGAGCGAGCTGCCTGCTTCTGCGCAGGGAGGCCCGGTGTCTGCCTGTTACATCTGCGGGGCCGAGCTGGGTCCGGGGAAGGAGTTCCAGCTCAGCGTGAACCCCGCCAACCAGCTGGGGGAGAAGGACCCCTTTTTCCCCTTCCTCACCGTCTACCCGCCAGCCCCTCGTGCCAGGCCTGCCGACTCCACGGGCCTGGTGGCCACCTGCATCCTCTGCTACCATGACCTGCTGGGCCAGTGGCTACAGTATGAGACCCGGGGAGCCCACCAGGCCACCAGCGCCTGGTCTCGGCAGTACCAGGTGGACACGTTTGTATGCTTTTTCTGCCAGCAAGAGAGGAAACGCTGTCTGGGGCTGAAGTCCGTGCGGGTGGCCAGGCTGCCCTTGTTTCTCTACACGCTGAGAGCCAGCCACAGCCTACTGGTGGATGACGGTCGTCAGCTGATCATCGGTGCCTGCGTGGAGTGTGGGACCCTGGTGTGTGCAGGCCAAGGGCTCGCCCGCCCGGGACCTGTGGGTTGGAGCTCCCCAGCAGCAGGAGTAACGAAGGTAAGCAGTGGTTTCATCTCCTTGGGCGTCTGTGCTGGCAAAAGGAGAGAGGTTTTCCGTTCTCACAGGTGTTGTTGGCACGGGGCATCTTCCCGGGGCTAGCTTGGCTGACTTTGGAGGTGTGGTACAGGTAGAGGATCTAGTGGAAGAATGGAAGCTGCTGGAACAGCAGGCAGGGGGGCTGTCGCTGGGAGTGTTTGCCCCGAATTTATCAAATGGAGGAAGTTCGGGGCACGTCTGTCTGTCGTCCGCCAGATAACATGGGTAATTAGTGCAGCCACTCTGCTCACTGACAGGTCCCGGTGACGAGTTCCTTTCCTCACTGGCCCCCAAGCTGCCTAGCTCTCCCCGAGATTCCCACCCAAGCGCACAGTCTTTCGTAGGAGACATCCTGGTGGCTTTATGGAGCAGATGGCAACAGATTCCAGACGCGGGGGCGCATGGGACTCGGGGATGGATGGCCTAGACAGCTTTTGCAGAGGGAAGAGCCTCTTTGCCAGTCAGCTGTGCGGAGCTGGGCTGAGGCCTGGGGCCTGTTCCCGGCAGGCTGCTGTCCACCCTGCTGGAGTCAGGCTGAGCACTGAGACTTTGGGACCTGGCTTTGCAAGGACAGGACCGGAGCTGGCAGGGTGGGCTTGTGGAGGGGTGGCAAGCATCCGGGACCGGCAGCCACTGTCTGCCCTGGGGCTGTGATCCTAATTTCAACGAAAGAGACTGACCAGTCTTGGGTAGAGGCCTGTGTGGCAAGGGCTGGCTAGAGATGAGCAGAGGGGCACAGGGGTGGGTAAGTGAGTTCAGTTCAGGAACAGTTGTCTGTGTATAAAGTATCTGGCTGCCGGTGTGTGTGTGTGTGTGTGTGTGTGTGTGTGTGTGTGTGTGTGTGTCCATTCCTGTGTGTGTGTGTGTGTGTGTGTGTGTGTGTGTGTGTTTGCCTGTGCATGTGTGGGATGCCTGGGAACACAAAGGTTGGCCTACACGGTGGCTCCTGGTGTGCTTCTCCAGGTGCACAGCCCCCCACCCATATACTGTCCTCATCTTGGACACAAAGTGTCTTTGAGGCTTTGGTAGAAGCACCCATCCTCCCACCCCCCCACCCCCATTTCCACTGGGCGTCAAGGAATGGCCTGTCACCCAGGATGCTGAATCTTTCATTATCCACAGGGTATAACAGTCAGTGCCAGGGCCTCTACTGGGTCATGGAAGGGCTGCAGCTCTACAAGGCCCCCACCTTCCAGAAGAGTCTGACTCTGGGTCAGTCAGGCCTGGTCTCCACCCGTCCCTCTCTCAGTAGCCAAGTCATCTCTGGGCAAGTTTTTACCCTGGCTACCCATCAGTTTCCTTGGCTGGGAAGTAGGAACGCAGGCCACCTGGCTCTCAGGCACGCTCTGATGATGAGATCAGTTAGGAGACATTTAAAATTCCCCAGGCCAGGCACACATCGTGCAGCGCCCTCTCCTGATGCCCTTCTGTTTGGCTGGCTCTGTGGGTAAGGTTCTGTTTTGGTTCTGTTGGGGTAGTTGATGCTCCCTGGCAGTGTGGAATCCTCTCTACATAGTGCCACTTCGTGCCAACCGGGCCTCAACTACAGGAACTCACATTAAGCTACGGGAACCATGGGGACCACAGTTCACTCCACAGGGCACCCAGGGCTCACCTGAGCATCGTACTGACTTCTGTTCCATGGCGAGCAGTGTCCTTGAGCCTCACTTTGCCCCGTGAGCCTTCTAACTCCCACTGAGACGCACACAGCCAGCAGGGAGCCGAGGCTGGAACCCTTGGCCTTGGGAAGGGTAGCTTGAATAAAGACGTGGGAGAGACAGGGACAGGAACAGAGCCACACACAGGGCCTCTGGTGGCTGCTGTCCCCAGGGTGATAAGGCTGGGCCAGGCCTGCGCTAGGGCAGGCACATTGATGGCAGGAAAGAGGAGCCAGTTGACTCCTGGGGTCTGAGGATGCCAGAACAAGTCCTCTGCTCTCTGCCCTTCCTCCCGCGCTCCCGTCCTTCCCATTCATCACACAAATATTTATAGAGCGCCTACTCTGAGCCAGGCGCTGTTCCAGACTCTGGGATCCAGTGGCAGGCACAGCCTGTAGTGTCCCTGAGGAGGGGCCAGCACACAAGGTCCAAAAGACTGTTTCCCCACAGCATTGAGAGCCACGAGGCTGACAGCCAGGCTGGGTGCTGGGCAGAGAGCCGAGCAGGAGCTGTGGGCAGAGTCAGGCTCTTGGGCCATCAGGAGATGAGGCATAAGTGCAGCCTGTCCCCTGTTCCCAGGCTGGTTCCCTGAGGTCCCTCCAGAGTCCCTGACCTTCACATCCGTGTTCCCTTCCTCCCTGTGTGCTGTCTGAGGGCTCTGCTGGGAGGGACGAGGGCCCTGGCAGGGGCCAAGGGAAGCTACTTGGTGGAGACACAGAGTGTTCTAGAACCTCCTGGGATTCTGCTTCCCTGGTAAGTGCTCCCTCAAGAGAATCGACTTGAAAACTTACAAAAAAGGAAACGTCTAAAGGACAGAGAAAGAGAGGGGCAGGGCCTGAGCCAGCGTTCAGCCCGCGCCCCCTGCTGTCTCCTAGTCCACGGAGCTCGGTGTCCTGCAGTCCACACCACCCTGGGTGCAGCATGGCTTGGGTGGTGTTCTGGCTGGGCCAGGGAGGACTGCAGTTTGTCCTCTCTGACCTGGCACCCCCTTCCCTCAGAAGATTCTCAGCTCTGGGAAGCCATGGAAAGACCCCAGTTTTGCCTCAAGGTGGGCCTGGTCTGCGTCCTTGTATGACTCTTGACTTCTCTGGTCTTGGTGCTTTGTGGTGGCTGCGGGGAGCTGGGGTGCAGTGCAGAGTGGGCAGTGGCTCCCTCCTCCCAGCATATCTTGCTTCTGTCTGTGGCTCTGGGGGGCCACCTGTCTCCATCTGTCCTGTCAGAGCAGGAGGAAGAGCCATGGTAGGTTGCTGAGGTGCTTGGTTTGTGCTGTGCTTCCCTGTATCCATGGTTACCACATCCTCTAAGTACCTCTGTGGAGGGTGGGTGGGGCTCCCATTCTGTCCTAGATGAGAAAGAAGCCCAGAGAGGTCAAGCTGTTTGTCCGCGTCACTCAGCCGGTACCAGCAGAGTCAGCCTTGGGAGTCTGTTCCGCCCTCTACCCCATCCTGCCCTGTCACCTCTGGGCTCCAGCTCTGAAGGGGCGACTTCTGTGTGTATGCCCTCCCATCCCACCCAGTCGTTTGCCTCTCAGGGGCAGAGGCCCGAGAAACCCTCAGAGGAGGCCCTGCCTCCTACCGCCTCCTGCCTCATACATCTGGTTTTCCTACCCAGCCAATAAAGGGGTACCTCTGCCTCTGCCCCCCAACACTGCGGGGGGTGGCCTTTTGGCCTCTTTGTCCAGGGTACCAAGGGGAACACCAGCTCATGGAGCCTGTGGCTTGGTACCTATGGTACCCCAGCCTGTTGCTGAGACTGTCCTGGCTCAGCCCTCAAGCCCAGATGTTGCCATGTCTCACTCTGGACACAGATGCAAGTCCACAGAGTGCTGGGCCATCACCCACCAGGGCAGCTGCACATCTGTCCCTATGGCCACCAGCTCTCCGCTCTGCAGAGAGGCTCTTGGCCACCACTTACCCGACACCCCCAGGACACCAGCTCAGGACCCATTGGTTGGAGAGCCTACTGGGAGGTGCCAGGCTGTGCTGGGGTCTTTTCCCTGGCAGCAGCTGTGATGTGGGGCCTCTCTGAGCCCCAGATCCCTCCTCCAAGGGGAGGCCCCTGTTTTCTTGATGGTCTGGGAGCCATCTGCTCCTTGGAATAAATTTCCCAGATGCCTTGTGCTAAACCTGGGGGTGATTGGAACTGATGGGGGAAGAGGAATTGGAGGCCAAAGGTCTTAACAACTGAGTCTTCCTGGGAAGCAGGGTGGGGAGGAAGGCAGAGGCCCCTCCTCTACTTAGATCCCTTGGAATCTTGCCCTTCTGAGGTCCATTCTGCTGGACAGTCTCTGGCAGAGGCTGGAGTTAGAACTTTTGGTCGAGTCTTGGCTATCGTCAAGCCCGTGTCCAGAATTCAGGTCCCTCTTCTCCTCTGTCTGCATCCTGGTGGGGACCATGAGGAGGCGGAGGGACAAGATACGTGCCCTGGAAGAGGAGCGTTTCAGAACTTGCCTTCTGTTTCCTTTGTCACCTGAGGACACACGAGGGGTGGGGTGGAAGGAGCCCCCAACCTGCTGTGTGACCCCTCACTCAGGTCCCCCATCTGTCAAAGTAGCAGGTCTGGTCTGTGAGGCTTCCACGAGGTCTGTGTGGCCGCCCTGTGTTAAGAACAGTACTCAGGCTGAGTCTAGACTTGCCGGGGGCGGGGCTGGTGGACATGTGGGCACCCTGCTGTGAGGGGTCTAGTTTTAAATTCATTATCCAGTGCCGTACCCCAAAGATGAAGATTCTGTCCTGTGGAGGATGACATGGTCCGGTCAGAACCACGTGGACCCACATACTGAGACTTCCAAAACACGCGTGTGTTTTGTAAGAGACACTGTCAGTGCTGTGCCCGGGACTGTTCCCCTCTTGTGCCAGGCTGCCCTGAAGAGCTTGCACACAAATTCCACCCAGAGCTCCATAAGCACTCTAGGACTGGTGTAGGGGTTGTTTAGAGCTGTGGGATCTTCCCCAGCACTCCCAGTGGATGCAGGTAGGATGCCTGTCCACCTGGGTCTCAGTTTTCCCATCTGTAAAATGGGTGTACGTGGTGGTGAATATGGAGAAGACCTGAACGTTGATACTCCAGTGGTATCATTTGCAGAAGCCCCTCATTTCTTCTCTGTGGCATAGACGGGGTCTTCCAGCGAGTCATGTGATACAGGGTCTTAGATGTTAGGAACAGTGCAAGCTTTGTGAACTCCGACATGGAGCGCCAGTGGAGTGGTCAGGTCGCCCCGGCCCTTTCTGTAGGTCTTCTCTACTGTCTGCTGATGGTCCTCTGGTGCTATCAGGGCTCCTCCTGCCATCTGCTAACTTGGTG